GCACACCCACCTCCTGTGCGGGGAGGTGGGGGCTCCCCCAGACATCTGGGGAGGTGGGAAAGCCTTTGTCCCAAGAGGGTAGGGGATAGAGGAAGCGAGAAAGCAAGCTCCAGCCCTCTGCAGCGCCAGACCACTGTCCAGGCGGCTTCCACTTGCCCAGCTCTGTGCTGCTCACAGCTGCTGCCCCTAAAACCCACAGGACCTGAGTGTGCAAGTCAGACAGGAGGAGAGGGTTGTGAAGTGAAGCCAGCAGGAGAACAAAGGAGGCTTTGTAGGAGAGGGAGGCACCTTCAACTTAGGCCTCCGGGGCCTGGGGAAGTGACTCACTGGGCCCTTGGGATGGACCCACCCATGGGTGCTCCACGGGACTGAGGATGCCCAGGTACAGGCCCATGGGGTGGGGAAAGGGTTGTTAGTCTCCAGCCTTAGCTGAGTGGGGCTTCCCCCAGACCCTGCCCTCCCTCCCCAGGACCTGATGTGTATCCAGGCTGGGGGTGGCCCTGTACTCATTGGGCACTGCCAGGCAGGGCTGCTGTCAGGGGCTGCAGGCATGGTCCCCTCCCTCCAACTCTCACTCCCATTGGCCCAGCAGGGACCTGGGCTCCCCAACTCTCGGCAGAGCCACGCTGCCCCCCACCTGGAGGGAGGCCATCAGTGCCACCTGGAAGTGGCCATGTTGGCGTCTGGCTCTGTCCCGAGGCTCTCTCGACGCCTGAGATGAGAACCTGGAGAGTCCTCATAGCACGCCCTGGCTTCTGGGGCAGTTGCACAACCTCCGCCAATTATGCTCCATATACTCTGTGGCAACCGGGTGAGAATTCCAGGACCTTGTACATACTCGTACAAATCTGCCTTCCTGCTGTTTGGCTGCAGGGCGAGGCGTGTCCCTGTGGGCCCCGGGAAATGGGGGTGTGTTCGCGTCCAGGAGGGCGTGGCCCGCGTCCGGAGTGGGAGCAGCCGCCTGCCCTGCTGGTGCCGGCTGTTCACCCCAAACCGCAGCTTCCTCGGGAGCCCTGGACTGGGTCCAGGACACAGAGGAGGAAGCTCTGGTGACATTGTAGACACGGGCTTCGAGCAGCAGGCTTGGCCCGGGAGCAGCTCGAGTCCGTGGCAGGTGGCGCGCCTCCTGCTTCCGGCAAGGACCGCGGGGGCCCTGTGTTCCCTTGGGGGCGGCGCAGGCATCCTCCAGGTGCTGGGTTTGGGCGTCCTGGCCCCTCCCCGGCTCCGCCCCTCCTCTTTAAGACTTTGTCCCGGTTTGTGATGTCTGGGTGAGGAGGTCCTGGGAGTCAGGCCCTGGGTGACCCAACCGTTGTTGTCCCTGAGACATGGAACTGGGTCAAGGAAGAGCATTGTCCAGCACAGCCGCCAGGCCAAGGGCTGGCTGTCAGCGCTGGCTGTTCTGTGTAATGGAAATAAAGACAAAAATCCAAATGAGGATTCCTCCCCCCGGGAGTGAGGGAGGCTGCCTCTGCCCCTGGTCTCTCATTACATTTCAGAGAAGCCTCATTGGCTCTGGAGGTGCAGGGTTGAGGTCGGAGGGGTTGTTGGCTCTAGTACAAATCAAGGAACTGGGAGGTAATCCATGTTTGATGTCACGGCAAACTTGAAAACTCTCCTGTGGAAAGTTCTCTTTCAGATCACTTTACGGAGCCTCAAGTGAACAATTCTCATGGAGAAACAAATGCCTTCTCTTAGCCTCATGGGCTGTCTTGTCCTCCCAGCACCTGCGGTGGCTGGCACATGCTGGCCGTCAATCAATGGCACTCATGGCGGGTTGGCAAGACAGGCATCTTTGCAGTAAGCAGGGACCCTTTTGCTGATAGATGTCCAAAGCCTGGGCATCCACACAGCCCACTCTTCAAGTCAAAGTTATACGACCCTAAGATGGCACAAATACTGTCCAAGATGTCCCTCCCCTGGGGGTAGCAGGGTGGGACTGGAAACACAGGAGGCCTCTTTCCCTGTGAATAAACAGCCACCCAAGGCAGCAAAGCCCGGATGCACGTCCCCAGAAGTAGCTCCCCACTCTACCTTGGATCTGAGGTTGGAGAGCTCACCATGGGCCAGGCAGATGCCTTGTTTGTCCAGCTCTGGGGCTGGGGGGAAGAGAGCCGCCATCCAGTGTTCCCATGCAAGATCAGCGGGGGACAGAGGGTGGGGGTGGGGGGGCTCTCCCTCCCACTGAAGGCTCACAGAGAAATGCCCCTGGACTTGCCGAGGACATGAGGACAGGAACTGAGGCAGAGCCTGCGAGGTCCAGGAGAGGCGCTGAGTACCCCTCCTTTTCTGACCCTCAACCTCACTGGGATTGGGTTCCATTTGGGTCACTTTAGAAAACTCTGATGCTTCTAAGAGAATGTCACTACTAGACTTGCTCCTGGCGGGAAGCTGCCCTTGGCTGCCATCAAGACCTTTCTTTTCTCTTGGTCCACAAAGGACTGCCTCATGGGCCCAATCTCCAGACGGGGGGCAAGGCTTCTCTCTCCACGGAGCTGCCTCCTTTGGGTGGGGTTGGGGTAGTGGAAAGAGGGTCACCACATCCTCATCACACGTGAGACAAGACCAACATTATGTGGCTGTCTTGAGCTTTGTGGCAAAACACATTTTCCCACCCACCTTAAAACTAACACAAGTATGGCCACCAAAGTGTGACGTCACAGTTCCAACAACACCCCACATCAGCTCAGGTGTCCAGCTCAAGGCCAGCATCCACCCGCTCTGGCCAACAGTTGTCCCCCCAGCTCTGTCTAGAGTTCCCCATTGGGTTGAACCAAGCATCCCACCTCAAACTAAAAGTCTTCTGGCAGCTTCCATTTTTATATGTTCCACCTTGTCACCTGCTTAGGAGAAACTCCAGTCCTGTGTGTCCTAGAGTGTCCTCCAGGGCCGCTGCAGTTGTTTTCCTGTCTCCAGAGAGTCAGGAGGGAGGACAGGGCCCGACGGGATGGGGCCGTCTTCGCAGGTAGTTCATCCTTCCAGATAACACAGGTCTGCCTCCAGAATGGGAAAGAGGGTAGCCCCCCAACCCCGTGCTCATTAGGCTCTGCTGGGTTCAGCCAAATTCGTCTTCCCTGGGTCAGGGGCTCAGTGGAGATCGGTCCCCATTTCTTACATCCATGCTTCTCTGCCCCTTTGTCAAATGTATTGGTCTGGTTCACACATACACACGCAAAATCAAGATAGTGCAAAAGGCCGGCCATGCCCCGAACACAGGAGTCAGGGTTGGGGACTTGGGAGGGTGAAGGCACGCCACCCTGCCCTCACTCCCATGTCTGCCGGCAGTGACCACTAGCCTGCCTGGGTACCACACCACGCAGCTGCCTAGTGCCCAATCCTCCACGGCAGATCCTCAGATCACGAAGACTCGGTATTTGGGACTTGGGCTAGTCAAGGTCCTATTCAGTGACCAAGCCAAGTTCCAAGTGTGAGGAGTGGTGGCTCCAGAATCATCCAAGCCAGAGTACCATCTTGTGGCCATCTCAGTGGATTCAAAACAAAGCACTAGAGCTGTGTGTGTAATGGATAAAATATCCTTTATTCATCCTAAGGAACACAGTCAAGCGGGAGCTTTAAAAAACCCACTTTTTAACAGGCATTATTAGTGTTGTGACCTGGCTTTGAGCCCCATGTGAGCCACTTGCTGTGGCTTTGCTGAGTCCTCCTCTGCACTGGCTTTGGTGGTTTGGTGGCAAACGAGGAAGTGTGAGCAGAGCCCTCTATCCAGTTGCTTACTATAAAAAAAAATTAGTGTTGAAGCTTACGAAGAGAAGTAACATTTATACGGCTGGTAGTGGATCAAAAGATGACTTACAATATATTCATTCCAGGAAGTAAAAAGATGTTTTTAAGATTTGTACTTACTGTTTATGGGGACTATGTATATTAGAATTTTAGCATTACTATGGGAGCATAGTATTTCTCTACAAATTCAGAAATCCCCCAGTTTATATAAAATCATACTTCCTGGTTTCACTGAAATTATAAAGAAATAAATTAAGAGTAACATTCAGTAAGGTAGTTACTCCTTATATATATAGCATGATGGTTTAATCAAAAAGATAGTTTGCCTGAAAATGTTAGGGACCCTCCACCAATTGGTGACCACGTTGGCTATTGTACCAGAAAAATCCACAGACACACGCGGCACTGAGCTGTTTTCACAAGGCTTCCTTTCTAATAAACACAACACTCTCTCCTCCTCTCAGATCTGAACTCCAGATGCCAAAACGCAGATGTGCCAACTGGAGGCGCGTTGCTAAGCAAAGGAGAGGGCTGGCGAGTCTGTCCAGCAAATTAAATTGTACAGCGAGATGGCGTCTGCTCTGTGGCCTCAGACGGGATGAGGCTGGTCTGTGCTCTCGTCCTCAGGCAGGTCAAGGCTGGTGGCCCTTACCCGGCATGTAAAAGGGTCCTCGTGGGTTAGAACATGAGGGCTTTGAGGAAAAATGCAAAAAGGCTCATTAAGATTGGAGGCCCACACGAATACCCTCACACTCCTTCCTTTGGAAAGAGACACGTTGAGGTCTTGTTCTGCGCTCAGGCAATCTGCAGGTCTCACGCTGGGGGCTGCCTGTCCCGTGGCTGGCCCGAGCCATGGACTGCCACCTTCTACCGCTCTGTAAGGCCCTAAAGAGGATGTCAACCCCAACCAAAAGCCAGAGAGAGGGAAAAATCTCAAACATTTATGAACGGGTTCAAAAGCCTCCAGATACCTTCTGTCTGCTTTTCCCCAGTTTGCATCTGTTTAGAGGCTGTGAATCAGAATTCAGAATCCGTGCTGCCCAGAGGGCACAGTAATAACAGGAAGAAGCACCCAAATGCACTAAAGGACTAGCTCAGGACCCTGCCCTACCCCTGCCCCTCCTCTGGCTGCCACTACCGGCTCTTCCTGGATTTGAATGGAAGGAACCCAGGGAGGACTCCACCCCAACCTCCCTGCACAACGGGAATGTGAGAATCCGGCTGCCGCTTCTGCACGGGATGGAGCCTCAGTCTTTTGATTTATAGCATCATTTATGGCATGAACTAGGAACGTAATGTGTTTACACAAACACACGACAATTGTACATCGGCATCTTTACAATATTAAAGGAGTCATATACAAGTCTACAGGCATCGTACACGGTGGTGCCGGCCCTGGCGCCCCACCCACACAGCAGCTCCCTGCGGTTTCTCCACTGGGGAAGAGCCAGCGCTCTGGGAAGTGTGACAAGGCCGGGGTGTCCATCTTTGGGCCTGTCATCTGGGAGGCAGCAGGTCTGGGAGGACCCCTCAGGGCCAGTCCTCGTTAGAATCTGGGGCCAAGAGTCTTAGGTATATGCCTGTGTCCAGGTCTTACTGCAGGCTAGTGTTACAATAGTTTAATTAAAATTCAGTGTGCATATTAGTGTGGGAATATCGGAGCTGGGGACGGCTTCCTGAGCTGGGGACCCAGAGGACGCTGCTGACAGATGGGCCCCTTCACCGTGGGGCCCATTCCTGAGGTAAGGATGCGGTGTGGCCCTGTGGCTGGTCCGGGTGGGGAAGAGACTTCCGCGGGAGCCCAGGTGAGTACATGCAGACAGGACTGGAAGCCCCTGGGCATTCGTAGGGCAGGTGACACACCAAGTGTGGCCTGCACCAGGGTGGCAGCAAAGGGGAGGGGCTGAGACGGTTCCAGAGCCACCCATCCCCCACACCCACACTGCCCTCCTCCCAGCAGCCTGACCCCTTGGGGGCCCTGCTTCAGCTCCTATGGCACTGCTACCCCTGCATCTGTCTCTAGAGCAGGGACCAGAAGTCTCCAAGCACCTGGGCCTGAGCGCCCGGCAGCTCATCCCCCCGTGGGCACGCTGCATGTCTGATAGAACTGAGCACCAGATAAAGAAGTGTTGGTCCTTGTCAGTCTCTCTGGCTTGTGCAGTGACAGTTACTTTTGTCTTAAATACTGTAGAAAAATAAGCCATCTCTGACCCAAGGAGACCCACTGGAGTCTGCCCCGCATGGAGAAGGATGAACAGCTCCTCTGGTGTGGGCCAGGGAGGCCTCTGCTGACCCCGCCGCAGCAGGCCTGAGAGCCACGCAGGGCCCTGCGTGGAGCTGGGGAGCTGAGGGGCCCGGAGAACTGGCAGCGGAGTTCCCACGGCGGCATCTTTGGGTCACATCAACAGTCCTTCAGGCGGCATGCCTCCAGCATCCCACCTTCTGTTGCCATGACACCTGGGGCCCTGGGGACCCTCCAGCCCCACCCTCAGTCTCACACCCACTGCTAAGCAGGAGACGCAGAAAGCCCCAGCACTGTTTCCAGGTCCCTGGGGTGTCCCCAGGGCCGAGGGGCCTCAGGCGGGCACTGAGGCAGGGCCTAGTCCAGGGGCTCCTGCTTTATCCGGACAGTGGTGGGTGTGGGCTGAGGTCGCCGCTCCTCCCGGCAGAGCACGTACTCGCTGAACTGGGAGGAGTCCACGCCACCCCCGCAGGACGCGGCCACGCTGAAGCCCCTCTGGAACAGCCTCTCCAGGACCTGCAGGGGAGACAGGGGTCAGCAATGCCCGGCTGCCAGAGTCTGCCTGGAGGGCAGGTGGGCACTGGCCAGGGCGAGCTACCTGCTCCTGTTGGCATCTCAGTCTCGCTCAGGACAGAGCTTCCTGCAGAACCACCAGCTGGGCAACCACAGGAGGGACCAGAGCAGCCAGGCTCCAGGGCCCCTTGAGTGACCAAACCCGGGTGGGCTACCCCACCCTGCTGCCCTCAGGAGTCCACAGCTTTGATTCAGGGAGGCAGAAAGAGCCTTCGGGCCCCTTCTCTCTTCTCCAGGATATAACCTGCCCCCTCTCTCCAGACACGTGGTCCCGGGTCCCCCTCCCTCACTGAAGCCTGCCCCAGTGACAGAGAGACCCTGCCCCTGGCCTCTGGGCAGCCACCTGCTTCTGAGCTGTGAGTCCCAGATGGTCTGAGGCCTGGGGGCCCAGCAGCTCAGGGGAGCTCGGGGTAGAGGGGAGGAGGAGTCCTCAGTTTGAGTCTCTGCAGGCCTCCGTGTCCACATGGGTTGGCGCCTCTGTGAGGGTGGGATCTGGTCACTGTGACACCTGTGTCCTGCAACTAGCAAGTTCTGACTGGCAGGCTGCGGAATGCGGGGGAACTTTCCCCACAAAGTCCACTCTGCCCTACGCCTGAAACAGGAGTCTGCTCTTGCGGCTGGTGAAAAATAGGCCCTACTCCATCGTGGCTTCCCAACTCTGAGGCCCATCTGGGGAAAGCCAGTCCAGAAACAGCTGTCTGGGTGCCCACAGCCAGGGTCAGCAGGGCGAGGAAGGGGACTCCAGGCCACCTCTACTCGCAGCCTCTGACCTGCTGCTCCTATGGCCTGGGTTTAATTTGAATCCAAAGTCAGACTCTGGGTGTCAAAAGAACCACCCTCTGTTGAAAATTCTCTGGGCCATTTTTATAGAACAGCCTTTTGGGGGAAAAAAAAAAAAAGCACAGATCAATTTTTTTAAGTCCATCCCCCAGGCGCCATCATTTAATTATGAGGGGGACATAAATTATGCATCGACACATTGTTGCCTTTTCTGTCAAATGGCATGGAGGGCTTGCCGTTTCAGGGATGGCGCCGCCCTCCCTCTCTCTCCCGGAGGGCCGTGGGGAGGCCCGGGCGGGGCGCTGGGCCCGGTGCAGGTGAGCCTCACCTGCACCGAGTTGAGCCGGCAGTAGCCGTTGAGCGGGAAGCGGATGACGTGAGTGGGGTCCTGGTTCCAGCCGGCGTTGACCGAGTTGCACATGACGTCCCCGGTCTCGGGGAAGACCTCCTCGATGAGGGCCTTCTCGCCGCTGAGCGCGATGCGCTCACCCAGGTCCGGCGTGACCCGCACCACCAGGCAGTCACAGGCCCGGCTGCGGCGCCGCTGCTCTCGCTCCTGCTGCCAGCGCTCCAGCTCTCGCACCATCGGCTGCAGCTGGTAGTACCGCGCCTCCTCGTACAGCAGGCTGAAGTCCTGCGGGCATGCGCAGAGGAGGCGGGGGAGGTGGGGGGCTGCCCTGTCTGACTCCAGGGGGCCTCCTCTCACAATTCCACGGGAGCTGCCACGACCCCCCACAACCTCCCCAGGGCACAGTGTGGACTGGGATGGTTGTGCCCATTGCAAAGATGGGGAAAATGAGGCTGAGGTAAATGTGTGCAAGAACAAGAAGCCTAGTCTTGACCCAAGGGCAGTGGCAGTCGTGCACCTGCGCCAGACCCCCTGAGCCCTTCCATCTCTGGCCCAAAGCACTGGGGGTGGCTTCATCCCCCTGGAGCAGAGAGAAGCTTCTGGAAAGACTGAGAGGCTAGACTAGAGGAGCCCGAGGCTGTGCCTATGCCCGGGGACCTGCTGCCTTCTTAGAATCCCAGGGAGGAGAGGCTGAGCTGGGCACAGGGCAGCCCCGTCCTCACCTGCGCTGGAGAACTCACAGCCCAGCAGGGAGGCAAAACAGACCTGCCCAGGGTTGGATTTCTGGCATCCTCATCTAGCAGCCCGGAGACCTCTGATTATCAGTTACTGACCATCTCTGAGCCTCAGTTTCCTCTTCTATAAAATGGATATAAACACCCAGCTCAGAGAATGGAGCGAGGATTAAAGAGAGCCCCCTGACCCCCACCAACCCACACTCACAGCCTTTTGCAGCCTCTTCCCAAACATAAGTCTAATCTGCTGCTTTGCGCCATCTTTGCAGCCTCTGCTTTGGTGCAAAGCCTTGAGTGAACCTCCCTTGGCCTTACCCCCGCCCCCATCCTTCTCCATACAACAGCCAGGGTGATCTTTCTCATTTGCAAAGCTGATCACTAGTCCCCTACTCACAACCCTTCCACTGCATTCAGGGTAAAATGCCACCAGCCACCAGGGTCCTGACATGGAAAAGCAGCCTCCGTTCCTGCCCATCTTCTCCCAGTTCATATGCCCCAGTCTGACACCTTCTCTCCAGTTCTGGAAGGTACCAAGCTCCTTGCCACCCCCACGCTCTCACCAAGGCCCTCACACTGCCTGCCCGGTTCCTCCTTCACCACCCAGACAAACATCCTTTCTTTGAAACCCCCCGGAATGGGTCCCCAGGGCTCCCTCCCACAGTATTCTCTACTCCTCGGAAGCATTTGCCCCCGTGGATTCCAGTGTTTTCTGCTCAACGTCTGTCTTCCTACCAGACTATAAGTGGGGGGGTCCATGGGGACAGGACCCCTCTCTGCCTTGTTTCACTGTATTCTCAGCCTGAATTTGGTTGTTGGCACTGGGGAACTCAGTTGGATGAAGGACAAAACAACCCCAGGGCCACTGGTCCTGGGTGGGGGGGGGGGTGCAGGGGTGGGAGGAAGGGAGGAAGGGAAGAAGAAAGGACGGAGGGACATTGCTGGTTGGAGGTTGGAGGCCGGCTAGGCCAGGCCTGCGTTTCCTTTTTCAGGATCCCCAGCACCACGAAGGGGCCCAGCACCCAGGCAGGACTCTCAGAACCAAGTCGGCTGCCCCGGACAGGCTCCCCCGGATACCTGGGGGTGACCTTTTGTTTAAAGGGTGTTAGGTTGGATCAGGGTTTTCCCCCTGCAAACTACCAACAGGGAACAGAGTCACCTCCTGCAACTGCGCTACCCAATGGTCCTTTCCCACGAAAACACGAAACGGGGTAAGTGCTGCTGCCGCTGCTCAATTGTTGTTACACCCTGATAAATAAGCTAAAAATGTGAGAAAACAAAATTAGTTTCGAAAACCTGATGTAGCCCTCGGCTTCATCGTTTAACTTTTTATGGTTGCCATGACGACGGCGGGTCCATTGCCTAAGTCACAGCGTCCCCTGCGTAAGGCCGCCGCACAGGCGGCGCAGGGGAGCCGCCGGCCACCGACTTACCTTGAAGTCGTCCGGGAGCAGCAGTTTCGACGTCCGCAGGAAGCTCAGGACGTAGCGGAAGATCTCTCCGTCTCGGTCGATGAAATAATGTTGCTTCAAACTGTCCAGGACGATGGGCTCGGTGCCGTTGAAGAGGCGGCTTATCCTGGGAGAGACGGAGGGGCGCACGGCTGGTGGCAGGACGGGCCCCGCCCCCGCTCCTAGGGCCGCCCTGCTAGAGGGGTGGGGGCCTTCCACGGGTGACTCCGGGACTGCGCCGGGCCTGACAAATGTCTGCACACACTAGGGGCAGCCAGGCCACATCAGACAGGACACTGGCGCGGCAAGCAGCACATGCTCACACCCCACCTACGCGCACAAGCCACAGCCAGAGAGACACCCAGCGGCACACACCCGCTCACTGACACATGGTACAGGCCTGGAAAACTACAGTGGGACACAGACACAGCCTCCTGTCCCCCACACACAAACTCTCCCCAGACAGACCCACCCAGAAAACTCCCACCGACCACTGGACACCCCCACCCACGGCCACACACCTCGTGAACACGTCAACCAGCCACGACAGTCTTGGGTCACAAACACCCACCTCACCCAACCTACATGGAGGGGCATCAGACGCGACACACCTGGGCAACAAGCACAGGGTCACATGGTCCACTCCCTCGCAACACACAGATCACAGGCAGAACCAGACACAGCCAGGCAAAGGCCACACCAGCTGACACAAGCCAACCAGAGACATGGCTTGTACGCTCCACAAACTCACAGACGAATCACCCACAGCTTCGCACTCAGGGAGCCCTGGGCGAGACGCAGAGGCAGGCAGGAGGGACAGCAGGCGTGCATGCATGCCACAGCGCACATGCACACTCGACCGTGTGCTTGCACACATGCCACAGCATGTGAACGTGCACACACCAGTGTGTGTGCACACAGAAACAGTGCACGCACATGCACCACACCGCATGCACACATGCCACAAAGTGTGCACACTTCGGAGAGACTGGGAGGGGAGACAGGTCCCAGCACCCTGTCCTCCGAAGGGCAGTGGTTCTGACAGAGACACAGGACCCGCAGGAAGCTCTTGGGGAGCCCCTGAGGCCTGTCCCATCCACTCCAGCGAGGAGGAACCAGGCCTCAGGGCCAGCGCTGTGGCCTCCCCAAGGCCCAGGGAAGCAGGCTCTGGCTTGGCTAACTTCCCCTGCAGTCCCCAGGCCTAGCTGTGGACAGTCAGGGGCCCCAAAGAGGGGTGGTGACAGCCAAGAGCTTGACTCAGAAACAGGTGGGAGGTTGGCAGGGTGTCCCCAGTGACAGCACCTCCCGACATCCTTCAGCAGGCAAGGCCACACACTCATCCCCAGCCAGACCCTGCCAAGGTGCCAGCTTGTCTGCACAGCCTGGGAGAAGGGTGGCCCCGATCTGGGACCCAGCCTGGACAAGCTGCTGCCTAAGCCCCTTCACTCTCTGCGTGCACCAGCGAGAACCTTCCAGGGATGCTCCCTCTCCCCCAGCAGCCCACTTCTCTGTCCACTTCAAGTCATGGCTCCTAAGGCCCTGCCCTGCCCCTGCCATTGTGCACCAGGGCACATGAGCTGGGCAGAAGCTGATGGCTTAGAGCCCTTAAAGCCTCTCTCAGGGCTCCATCTACACCGTCCTCCACTCTGGTGGCCTGGCACACTTAAGGCATCAGCCATAAGGGTCTGCCTGGGTGCGGAGTAGCGATGCAGTCACCTGCTTTCACTCTGGGGACATCGCCCAGCCCCTGGCACAGTAGGGCCACATAAAGGGCAAAGCTGTCTCGCAGATGGGCGTGAGCAAGTTAGAGCCCGCAGTGAGGTGTGGAGAGGCCCCAGCTGTGGAACCAGTGCTGCAATCATCTCAGAGCCCACTCTTCTCAGGGCTCCGAAGGCCACTGAGCCCTATCAACCCCCAGGCCTGTGACAACAGTACTGAGGGACACAGCCCTGCTTGAGAGCCTTGTGGGCTCTGTGGCCTGTTCCAGCTGTCAAAGCCCCTAAGACCTGGCCTCAGCAGAGCCTGGGCATTCAGATGTCAGAGTGAAGGCCATGCAGCATCCCTGGAGACAGACGGGACTGAGCAAGGCTGCCAGGTGCCATGGGCAGTCATCACAGTTGTCGGCAGACAGCCCAGGGCCCCCATATGGCACCAGCGGGACCACGTCCACAGGTGAGCCAGCAAGTCTGAAGCCTCAGCCTCCCTGCGGAACTGTCTCCACCCTTCTGGGTTGAGCTGGAACACTCTGTGAGGCAAGCAACGTTCTAGGCCTGGCTGCATTGCACCTCCCTCTGACGTCAGAGCTGGCTGGGGCTCCAGACCCTCCTGTTGGTCTAGTGGACCCCCGATCACCCACATTCCAGGGCTGGCTAGGTAGGTTCTAGGTTGTTGTATTGGTCCAAGGCTAGAAGGTTCTCAATCAACCAGCCAGGACTCGCTGGCTCTAGATCTTTCCATGGTTCAGTGTCTCTTCACAGGACCAAGACCTTCCATGCCCTTGAGGTCTGAGGCTACCCAGGGTGTGAGCAGGCTGAGGGAAGGTCAGGACGATCACCACAGAGGAAGCTCCAGACACTTGCAGGGTCTTCAGAGTCAGCTCCTGCCCTGGGCCACCCTCTGAGGGAGGCTGCCGGGTTTGGTGCCAACTTCAGAAGTCCTCCACGGAATAAGACGGCTGTTCTCACCCCAGCTGACAGGGGTCTTCTTCTTTTCCTTTCTTTTTTTAAGCTTTGGCTCCAATTTCCTGGATGTTTCAGTGGGAGGTTTTATTAGTTCTGAAGCTCCTGGCCATCTTAATTTGTTGCTTCTCACAGCAAGGATGGACCTAGAGTGGGCTGCGATGGCAGCAGCTAAATGACATCCAGCAGGCAGGAACGAGAAGGTGGCAGTCCTGGGGAGCCCACTCCCAGCCCTGGGCAGCTGTGCTCGGCTGTCTCGGGGTGAGGGAGGACCAGTGCTGTTCCTAGGCCAACCAGCAGCAGCACCTGTTCCTTGTGTGGGAGCCACCTGAACCCGAAGCCCAGGCATAGTTCTGTGGGCACAGGGACCCGAGGATATGGGGGCACGAGCCTCCTGGTGTCACAGCACTGCCCAGGGCAGGACTTTGCTGACATCCGGAACCCCCCAGTGACCTCAGCACTCTTAATTCTCTATCTCCAGGTGACTCACACATCAGTGACACTGGATGAGGGATTGACCTTTCTTTCCAGAACTGGTGAGAAACAGTTTTTCAATTTTAATGATTTATTCAAGAAGAGAGAGATCTGAGGGGCCCTTGCCAGCACAGCTGCCCAAGCCACTTCTCAGGCCCGGCCTGACCCACCATTCCCTGACTGTCCTACAGGTCACCCCACCCACTGGCCTCTAGGCCAAAGCTCCAGGCTGGGGGAGCAGCTCTCCTGGGAGCCAGAAGCCATCCAGGCAGAACATCAGATTCATCTTGGGCCTCAGCCCCAGGAAAGAATGCAGACTGCCACCCCCTCTGGGCACATCCTGCCGGCCGAGGGTTCCATATGCCAGATCGCCCGGCCACAGGGGCCTCAGCTCCCCAGCAAGAGGGCTGCCCCCCTTCGGAGCAGGACATGGCGAGGACGAGCTGCACTGTGGGCCTGGGAGGGGAGGCCAGTCTGCCCTCACTGCTCCAGGCAGCAGCCTGGAGACAAGAATGAGGAGGCCGTTCCCCACAGGCCTGGGCTGTGATTACTCCAGAAAGGCAGTGTCTGATTTCAGGAAACACTCTTCAGAGACGTTGTGGGCAAGGGTTTTATAAATTTCACTCACAAACATCATCAGCCGATTAAGGGATGATCTATCTCAAACAACGCGGGAACGCCGCAGAAGGCGAAATTGAAATTAAATAAGCAGAATCCATCTCCCATCTCAGACGGGGATGCAAGCGAGCGCCACGCCGACTCTGCTGACGTGGCCTCATGGCTGCTGCCCGCCAGGCCCCAAGTTCACAAGTGCCCCAGGCCCAGCCTCTGTCAGGCTAAGGGGATGAGTCCCCGCCGCTGTCTGTACCCGACTCCCCAAATTCTGACCCGGACACTGCCTCCACCTCCAGCGTTCCCTCCTCGAGGGAGCATTCCACTCCCACGCAGGGTCCCCCCACCCCCGGCCCTCAACAAGCTCCAAAAGCAGCCACATCCACGCACGGTGAACCCTCCATGCTCCGAGCAACCACACTGGCCACGAGGCAGCCTGACAAGAAAGCTTCCCAGAGATGATCCCTCCGTGTCTGGGGGATTAATTAACTCCTCCTGTTTTTTCAAATGTATAAACCAGGGGCAATATCCTGCAGCCTTGGCCCTCTCGCTGCTCAGCCCTCGGCAGCAAACACACACCGCATCACCTCCGGCAGATGCTCGCAGAGACCCACCCCACCTCAGGTCAGCCCTGCTGCTCCGCCAACGGGAAACCAGGTCCGCCTCTGAGGCAAGAACAGGAGAGTTGGCAGTGCCCAGGGCCTCCCACAGACAGGCCCAGGAGGCAGAAGCGCCAGGGAGCTCGACAGAGTGCGAGGCGCCATGGTGGGAGGGTCCGGATCAGAGACACTTTATCCACTGATGGGGTATGAAGCTCATGCTTATCCACAGCCCCGATGTCCCTGAACATTCTGGAATTCCTAGCCAGTCACTGCAACCCCCTCTTCTCCCTTCCAAGGGAGCCTGCTGCTAGCCCTCAGGGTCCAGCAATGGCCACCCAGACAAAGATGGCAAATTGCAGCTCTCCCTCCTCCCTCCCCTTATGCACTTTCCCAAGGGTTAGACCAGGGAATAGGATTAAATACTTCTCCCCAATGTGACCCCTAGAAGTATGCAGCGTTGCTCACAAATGATCCCCTGCAAAGTCTCACTCAAGAGGAACCTGAAGGTATATGAGGTTCCCCAGCCAGCTGCTGGCCAGTTTCAGGCGGGGCTGGCTCTGAATAAGTGGCCTCCGTCAGTGGTCAGGAGCTCCACCCAGCTCCACCAATGCCCCCAGCTCAAGGTCACAAGTCCCTGTGCAAAGCAGCCTTTGACAGGCAGATTCGGCCTCCCAAACTCTAGTTCCCCAGGTCTACGTGAGCAGGTGGGCCCTGCAGAGCCCTGCACGTCGTCAGCTGACAGAGGTGGGCCCCACTGGCAGCAGGCTGCAGATGCCGCAAGTCACTACTGCGTGACGGGTGCTACGAGGGGCTCGGCTCTTACCTGGAGTCGGGGTACTTGGTGAGTGTGGCCAGGCTGCTGGTGTACATGTGGCCGCCCACGTCGATGTGCACAGGCGCATTGGACTTGGTGAGCTGGGCTGGCAGTGGGATCCCCTGGGCGGCCAGGGGAGACACGGGCGACCGAGTGAGAGACAACCGGGACATGCTTGCTCCCTCCTGGAGATGGAAACAAGGTGGAAAGGAGAGTTTCTCCACCACAGAGCTGTGCACCCCCTTCATTGCCAATGTGATCACAGATCTAATCAGATCACTGCTGCCTCTGCCTGATCACATATTCAGCTGACAAATTACGGCCACCACTGTAATTAAGTGTATTTGCATCATTTTCTTCAGAGTACCAGAGGGAAAAAGAAAGATGCTTATTAGCAATAAGAAATCAAGAAAAAAAATTTTCAAGGTGTCAGCCTCCAGGGGCATAAAACAAACTGCAAAATTCTAATTAAAGGTCGCGGGCTTATGTGTTAGATGTGAAATATCCCCTGACAAATGAATCACCAATTTGTGAATTGGGATTCAGGGGGTTTTTGCAAGTTTGTCTCAGTAACGAGACACCTCTAAATTAGTGACTTCCTCAGCACCTAAGGCGCTGAGTTTTATACATGTAGTAAATTTCACATCAAATTAAGAGCATTTTTGTTTCAAAAAATACATAATCGTACAGCCAGTCAACAGGCATCTCTTGAATGCCGCGGCTGTGAGGAAGGGCAGCTGGGGAGAAGGTGCTGGGGAAGAGGGTAGAGAGGGGGCCGCCGGCTGCTGACCAGCCCACCCCGCTGGCTCTCACCGCAGTGCCGGCGCTGCCGTGGGCGTGAAGCGAGGACCCGCTCGGCCGCTCCTTGCGGTGAGGCATCTAGACTTCCATGGCTGCCCAGAGTATCTGTGGGAAGCAACAACAAACCAGGGGACTTACTCGGTAGTCGTGGAGGCCGTGTCTCCCAGGAGTCAAAGACACTTCGAATCGTCCTGTCTGCACATCCTCTCCAGATACCACCACCACTATCCTGTCCCCACACCCCAAAGCAAGCCTCCAATCCAAGCCATAGCAGTTCACACACACACACACACACACACACACACACTCACACACGTGTTTCTGGGCAGCTCCACGTCTGCTAATTTGGCTAATGACAGTACTGAAACATATGCTCACCATTATTGCCCCAAAATGTTTCAGAACAAATCTGATTTTCCTGGTATTTTGGTTGAGAGCCATGTTACCAAGCGTGTCTCCTCTTACATCAGCAGAGAACCCCATGCACCACGGCTTGGGGAGGATCCCCTACCCTCCACGGTGCTAAGATGCAGTTTGCAACTCGACAGACACGGAGAAGCCTCTTTCAGCAGAATCCAGGGCACAGGGAAGAAGGAGAGTCACTTAGGAAGCCACCTCTCTCCTATGGCTCCTCAGAGAAAACCTGCCTTTGTTTGCCTAGCCTGCACCTCTGCAGTTTCTCCCCAGACCCCCAGAATGGTCTTGTCTGTGCCTAACGTATTCCAGACCCCCTCAGGATCACAGCCCCAGGGCATCAGTGAACCGGCCAGAAGGAAACAGACAGCAGCTCAGCAAACGGACCCTCTCTCCTGCTCCTCCTCAGTCACCCAGCCACTTTCCTGTGTGCCACAACCTTCTGATATGAGACTGCCCCTCAGTCTCCAGGAGCTGCCTCGGGGACCACGCAGGCCTTCTGTAGGAGGGGTGGGGAAGAGCAGGTTTATGCAACCCCTGCCAGGGACTTGGGGCTGTCTCATGGGGCAGGAGGAGGTTTGCAGTGAATATCATCCCCCCCCCCCCCCCAACAAGCCTAAGCTGGACTGTCTCTCACAGGTTTAACCCTTGAGAGAGCAACCTCCCTCAAGGGTTGACTTTGCACCTTGAAATTCAACATCCAATTTTAAAACATGGACCAAGGTCCAATGAGCATCAGAGCCTGCAAATTTAAGTAAGGTTACTCTCCTAGGATTTGTTCTGCGCTCAGTGTCCTGGCAAGTTCCCTGACATGAAACTTGGGGTGAGGGGGTGTTGCTATTAGCAGGCAGAGATGTTTAATGTATACCCTTACTGGGGGCTGCTCAGGGCCTGCTGCTCAGGCATTCCAAAAGGAAAGCTGGTCACTTATCTCTAGGAAGTTCTGAGAAACCAAAACAGATCTCAGGAATGGGTTATCCTGCCCTGGGAGGCTCTGCTGGGGGAGGAGTCAGAAGGACAGCCACACTGAGGATGAACCCTGCTGGAACTGGAAGGCATTCTGGCAGAAATTCTATCAAAGCAGACTGCACAATGCTTTCCCTCCTACCAGGACACTACTCAAAAGTGACATTTAACACCAAGCACCCATCACAAAAGCTGTTCGACTCTGTTCTCACCCAGACTCTTGATTCCATCGCAAGCACAACCTGATGTTCATGGCATACCAGAAACTCACCATTGGAAGCCCCAGGCTTTACGCCTTGACCCGAACCTCCAGCGATCCCTCCGACAAACGCATCTGTGCTGGACAACGACCCTTTCCCCGAGACCACTGCTGAGGTCAGAAGCATAGAAGTGGGTGCAGTAAGAGATACAAGTTCATTCCGCCAACACCAGCATCAAACCCACGACCCAGCCCCAGCGCGCCACTGCCCTCGTGAGACTCGGCCAAACTGCCTGTTGCAGGGACCTCGGCGGTAGCGTGCTCGAGGGTCTGCGGGTTTCCAAACTGGCTGGGTATCGACCCGCTCCTCTGAGCTGCGGCGGGAGCCCCGGGTCCCGCGCCCGCCCGCCGCCGAGCCCCGCCCGCCCGAGCAGAGGGAAGCGAGCAGAATGCCACGCTCATTTACACACAAAATGATTTTGTGTCCCATTGTGCTCGCAGTTGTTCAGCTCTCTGGGGGTGATTAAACTGGCTGAGCTGCGGCAGCTTGAGACGATTTCACTAAATCGCTTCTTCGTGAAGTCGCTTCTTTGCTAAGCTGTTATTTTAACCATAAAAGGTAAACAGAAGGCGCTTCGCGAGCTCCCTTCAGCTCCGCGCCCTGGGCGCCAGCCTGGGGCGAGAGTGCCAGGGGCCTGCAGAATTGTCCAGGGGGTGGGCCCGGAGGGAGGCAGCCGGGCCACCTGGTGCGCACCAGCCCTGCTGCGGAGCCCGCTGGCCGGTGCGAACTTCGGGGCGGCCGGAGCCGGCTGGGCCGAGGCCGGCGGCGCCGCGGGGTGGGGGTGGCCGCTGAACCCGAAGCGCCAGGCAGGGCGGGGAGGGGGGTGCGGCGGGGGCGGGGCGGAGGACAAAGTTAAATCCAGAGGCAGACACTTAGAGACCACAGATGGAAGCTCGCCTAATTAAGGACGTAAAAGCGCTTTTGTTCTCAAAGTTTATTGTTGCCGGGATTTAAAAAAAATTAATTGAAACTAATGCTGTTATTCAGTCGTGCAGTTAAATTCCTTCATGCACATTTGAAACACGGAGTGAAAACTTGAAGCTTATTTTTCTGCAGTCGAGGGTGTGGGGCGCGGAAGGACCGAGGGGCGCTTTGGCTAGGGAGGACCGGGCGTGTTGGCTAGTGTGTACCCCGTGCGCGCGTGCAGGTCGGGGAGTACCGGCGGGCAGCGGAGAGCCGGAGGCGTGGATCGCGTCTCCGCGCGGCCCGCCTGGGGTCCCAACCCCCGCGCCTGGGACGACCACCAGCGCGCCGGCCCCTCCCGCTCCGTTTCGGACTCGCGGGGTGGGCGTCAGAGGACGCACATCTGTCCCGTTAGAGACTTTTTCTCTCTGATTTGGGCGCCAAGCCGGGCCCTGTCCGCCCCGAAGCCACAGCTGCGTGAGCCCAGTTCTGACCCCGGAAACTCGCCGGCCCTGCAGGGCGCTCGGCCCTGCACCGAGGCCCCAGTGTCGGGACCTGCAACACCCACCCCCCGACACACACCCCGCCCCGCGCGGCAGGAAGCTCGGGCGCCCGCCCAAGTGAGGACGGTCCACCCCGGGCCAGGTCCAGCCCACGTGGGCAATCCCCCCTCCCGCGCCAGGCCTTTGTGCTGGGTGCCCCCGTGCCGCCAGCCCCCACCGCCCAGCACCGGGACAAAGCAGCCACCCCCGCCCAGGTCCGAACCCCGGCCGGGAGACTTTCTCAGCATCTCAGCCACTTTGGGGACAGGGGTGCGCGGCGCTGAACGGTGGCCGCCGGCGCGCGGCTTACCTCGGAGCCGGAGCGGCAGATCCGGCTCGGGCGCAGCCCCCGCCCCCCGCAGACGCCGGTCTCGGGCGCCGGGCGCAGCCTCGCCGCCTGTGCTCGCTGCGCGGGTCGCTCCGGTCTCGTCCTGGAGTTACTTTCTCTCTCGCCCCCAGCCCTCCCCCCACCCACCCCTCCCGCCCCGGCCCCCGCTTCCCGCGGCCCCTCGCGGCGCGGCGCGCCGGGGCCTCCTCTCCCCGCCCTCCCCTCGCCTCCTCCCCTCCTCGCGGCCGCCGCCGCCGCCGCCGCCTCCTCTTCGCGCCGCTCTCCTGCTGCCCTCCTGCCGCTCCCACCTCTCCTCCCTCCTCTCTCTCCAGCGGCCTTCCCCGATTGCTGGCGAGAAAACCAGCCCCCCACCCCAGCCGGCACCCCGCGCCCCGTCGCGGCCGAGCCCGGACGCAGAGGGCAGCGATCCGGCTCCAAATTACCCAGCGCGGCGAGCGCGAGCGGGAGCGCGCGGCGACTCCTGGCTCGGGGCTCGGCTGCGCCGCGGGGCAGAGGATTAGAGTCGCAATTAGCTCCGCGCGCCCGCGCCTGCCGCGCTCGGCGACAAAATGCGCTGTTTCCCCTCCTTTCGCTGGGCGATCCCCACCCGTCTCTCCCGGAGCCCGCGCCTTCCCGCCGGGGCCTCTGCCAGGACCCTCCCGGGAGCGGTGCGCCCAGGCCCCCGCGCCCTCCGCCGCCCAGCCCCCCGCCCCCCGCCGGCCGGCCACGCGGCGCCCGGGCCTCCTCCGGGCTCGGGAGGGGGCGGGGAAGAAGCTGATTTTAATCATTGTCATTTCATCTGATGTAATATTTCCCCGGGCTCTTTCAGCTGGGCATAAATTTTCGGCTCCCAAATAAGTAACACAGGGCACGTTTCTCACATTTCTTGACTCCTCGGTTACAAAGAGGAGAGCAGCCGCCGCCGCGGCGCCCGGGGGTAGGGGCGGGACTTGGGAAGAAACTGGGCTGCGAGTCGGCCGGGGCTGGAGCGGAGCCGGGGGCCAGGGCCGCCCCTCCCCTTCCCCGGCCTTCCTCCCGGGGTCTCTGCCCCGACTGCCCCTCTCCCGGGGAGCAGCGCCGCCCGTGACGTCTGCGGACACGAGGTCGGCCACCGCGGGGGAGGGGCGCGCGGGGGGCGCCCGGCCGGCAGCCCGCGGCCAGACGCGCCATTTCTTTTCCGCGAGCCGCGCGATGGAGAAGTCTGCGGCCAAGACTCCCCGCGGCGTCGAGGCCAGCGCCCGGGGCCCCTAGGTCCCCGGGGCGGCTGCCCCTTCCTCGTCCTCTTCTACCTCCTCCTCCCCTTCCTCTTTCTCCTCCTTCCTTGCGCCCCGCCCGTCCCCCCTCCTCCTCCCCGACCGGTTCCCAGCTCCTAGGAAACGAAGCGCGCCCGGCCTGCACTGCGCCCCCGTCCGGCTCCGGGGACGCCCCGGCCAGAGCCAGGCTCGGGCTGGAGGGCGGGTGCGCTCCGACCCGGGGCGGCGCCGAGGCCCCCACCCCGAGCTCCAGCCAGACCTGGACGCCCTCTAGCGGCCTCACTCCCGGGGGGCGCTCGGGGCCTGCCCGCGGCGGGGGGGCGGACGGGCGGACGGCGCTGGTGGGAGGAGGACGAAGTAGGGGCCTGCCTCCCTTGACTAGGGGACCTCGTGCGTGGAAAGAGCGCCCGGACCGCGCTTCTGCAACTTCTCCACGCGGGAATAAGCGGAAACTTTCCTCCTAAGGGAAGGTTTTATTTATTTATTTATTTTAGAGCTCGAACTACAGGAGAAGGGGGAAATTTTCTCATTAAACTTACATCCCTGCAGTTAGTTCAATTACTTGATATATGCAGAAGATGTTGTAAATTTATAGATTTAAATAGCTTACAAAGATGCCCCAGGCCCTATCAGTTAATTTCCTTAATTTATGGATTTTTAGCTGCTCCTAGAACGGAAAGGGGCCCTGGAACTAGGTCAGGGATCCGTGCGGTGGCTCCAGTGTGGCCTACAGGCTGCCCACTCTGCTCCCCACGTCCTGGCGCCCCCGGCCTTCTGGTTCCCGGCTCTGGCCTGACAGCACCACTCTCTGGGCTCCGCACCCCCGCCAGGCCAGACCTGGAGGTCTGCTCTGCTCGGTGGCTGACTGCCCAGTTTCTCCAGGGCTGCGCAAGGCCGAGGAACATCTACACACACCCCAGCCGGCACTGAAGGAATGGATCAAGAAGTGAAGCGAGTAACCAGATAGTTTGACCTCCTGAGCCCTCCCTTAAGTGCTGGCTGGGATCACAAATGAAGGAGGGCGTCTGCGGGTACCCCGAACTTCTTCATGGACAGACCCTTTCCCCGTGCCAGGCTTTTGAGTTCTTGGGGAGAAGGGGGGAGCGTAAGAAACAAATGCAGCAGGCTCCTGTTTGAGGAGCACAGACCCACTGAAAGCCTGCTTGTCATGGCCCTTGTGGCCCCAGCCCTGCTCACTCCTCTCCCCTTCTATCTTAGGTGGCTGCTAGAGCTTCTTTGTTTTGTGTTCAATATGGATGAATATATACATATAAATTAATACTTAAAAGATTGGTATAAACTAAACTGTTTTAGGAAGCCACATGGTGATGTGATTAGTATTGGTATTCATGATTTAACATTTCTTTTCCCACTAGATGAAGTTTCTAAGATTTGCAAGGTACATGTCAAGGACGGGTGTATAAATGGATTTTTATTTATTCACAACTCCAAGACTAATTGCTTCTCTTTGCCTCAAGGCCACGAGATTGGTTTTAATATGACACTTCAAAAGTATTCATGGGACTACAGAGATACTAAGTGTCATTGTTTAAGAGACAAATCTCACCGTGGTACTGGTGACCCTGAAAATAGGATGTTCCACTTTATTTCAAATTCCTACATGTTTTTTTAAGAGTTTCACTTTAAACCAACTATATTAAAAATGTACAATTTAATGGAAATAAGAAATGACCATTTTGAAGGACCTTTATTTCCTTAATATTGCTGGGAACTTTGTTTTCATATTCCTGAATCCTTTTATTAAAGAGCTGAACTTTACACGTGTCATTAAGAAGGGTAAGTTTGGGTCATAATTTATTCTCAAGTGTTTTAACAGTTCCCGGCTAAATGTCAACCATCTTTTTCATTGAGAGACATGGACATGGACTGGGAGAAGCATTTAATGATGTGCGGTATATAATGCAATGGCGAGGCTTGTTTTTTTATTGAAGATATATAATTAGGACTGAAAACGTATTGAAACATCTTGTTTCATTACTATGGTGCAAGAGACTAAATCGGATGTGAGTCTAACCAGAATGTTGACTTGCTTTATCAGTAACATTTGACTGGCACTGAAGCCATGACAGTTCGTCCTTTAAAAAGTGGGTTCAAACCTTGCTTGCTCTGAGGCTCCTCTGCATGTGCTCACGTGATGATAGGCCCTGTATCCAGGTGCTGCAGACAAGACCTCCGTCTCCCGGTGTTTCACAGTGGCTTCCAAGGTGATTTTGTACTTTGTTGTTGCTGTTTGCAGACTGTGTTTAAAAATGAGGACCTCAATAAGGAAAGTAAAATGAGCCCAAAATGAGATCTCAGAGTCTACTGAACTCAACCTTCTCAGGAAAACTGAGACCAGACAGCAGATGAACGGGCTGAGATGCAGCTGCTGCCCTCTGGGGGCAGGAGAAGGGGGGTGGGGGTGTTAAGGCAGGGCTGTCTTCTCCCCCACCCCCAGGCCCCCTGCAGTGACAGCCAGACCCTCCTAGATCTGTGCCCACCTCGAGGCTCAGAGATGGCCCCTGACCAGGCTGGGATGGAGCAGTCTGGCCCAGAGATCACAGTCTGACATCCACTTGGCCCCTGCTTCCACCCCAGGAATCCCCCAATCTTCCCTCCTGGTTAGGACCGCAGAGAACCTGGAGACTGAATGGACCACTAGTGCTGCCACTACCCCCCAAACTGGGGCTCCTGTCTGTCAGCCAACCGCCCACTCCCTGGAGAGCAGACGTCCAAACCTGCCCAAGGACGGATGGCCCCTGCCTGTCCTTCAAGAGACTAAAACAAGACCAGCCAGCTCCCACTGGCCTCTGCCCAGTCCCCACCACTACGCTTTAGTGGGCACTCATGGTTTCTGGTGGGAGAGAAAGCAGGGGCTACAGACCACCCCCTCCTTGCCGCCGTCTGCCTGCAGCCCAGGGGTGCTGCTCAGAACCAACCCAACCTGCCCTACCCAGGAGCCAGCACTGAGGCGACAGCAGCAAGACAAGACGGAGACCTCCTGACCAAGAATCCTAACATGGTGGTGGCCTGCGGATGGCCTCCTGGGGACCAGGGACCTCCCAAATTGCTCAATACTCTGCATTTGACTCTTTTCCCCAAGAGAAGTATCAGCATTTTTACCAAATTCTCAAAGGGCATATGAGGATTTGGGTGTGAGTAACAAAACCTACCTTGGAATGGCTTCCTGATGAGCAAGGTTGATTATCTCACTTCACGGCGAGCAGGAGGCAGAGTGGCCCTGGAGCCGAGGCTCTCTCCACTGTGCTGTCCTCAGCATGTTGGCCTGTCCTCCCACCCACTCCTCTCCGGTCTCAAGATTAATGTAGCTCAAAGCTTCACACCTCACTGGACACCCGTGAAGAGCAAGGCAATGATCCCAGAGGCCCCCACAGCCCTCTTTGTCACATCCCATTGGCCAAAATTGGGTCACATGCCAACTTGCAAGCCAATCCCTGGGAAGGGAGGGGTTTGGACCAGTCAGTTTTAGCCCTGAGCTGTCTTCCTGGGGCTGGAGTTGCTACCCTGAGCCCTGAGGAGGAAGGAGGACCCTGGGCACAGTCAGGCTCGGCCTAGGAGGAAGGAGGAGAGGAAGGATTTTGTGTTGGGGGCTGGGGCCCCCAAAGGCAAAGAGCTATTGACCAGAACCCTGAGCTGGAAGGAAAGTAGAAGCTAAACAGTGAGGAGAAGCCCCCAACCCAAAGGGCACCTCCAGGGAAGCTTGAGACAGCGATGCCTCTCCAGGTCATTCTAGGATCCCAGGAGACACTAGACCCACACATGGAGATGGCCTTGCAGAGCACAGCTGCTTCCAGGCAACCAAGCCAGGCTGCTGGCCCCAGGCCTTCTGCCCTCCTCACCTCTGAGTTCCTCTCAGGCTCATTCTTCTCTC